ACCAGAAGCATTAAAACGATGACAAGTATTGGTTAAGATCAAATCAAAAAAGAGGATTTCAGAGGATACTATATATTCAACCTAGTTACACTGTTGACAATCTGAGTGAGATTATAGGTATTGCATATCATTTTGAGTTGATCAGAGCTAGACGTTAACCAATCCTGATTCAGATCACCCATCAAGACAAACTCAGAGTTGACATGCTGTGATAACAATTCGAAAAATACAATCCAGAGAGCCGGCATTAGCAGACGGAGGTCTATAACAACAAGATACAACAATATTTAAAAAAAGGTTCAAAGACAGATATTCAAATTGCTTAGGTTTAGTAACAGAAATCAGAACGAGTCTTTCACGTACACAGCAACACCCTTAGATTTACCATCTGCACGAAAAACATCGTAACCATCTATGCCAATATTTTTGTCTGTAATAGATTTTTTGAGCCAGGTCAGAGTGGCTTGCAAAAATGTATTCACCCCCCCCCCCCCCTTGGCATTTTTCCTATTTTGTTGCCTTACATCCTGGAATTAAAATGGATTTTTTTTTTGGGGGGGGGGGGTTGTATCATTTCATTTACACAACATGCCTACTACTTTGAAGATGCAAAATATGTTTTATTGTGAAACAAAAAAGAAATAAGACAAAAAAAAAAAAAAAAATTCAGAGTACCACCTTTTGCAGCAATTACAGCTGCAAGTCTCTTGGGGTATGTCTCTATAAGCTTGGCACATCTAGCCACTGGGATTTCTGCCCATTCTTCAAGGCAAAACTGCTTCAGCTCCTTCAAGTTGGATGGGTTCCGCTGGTGTACAGCAATCTTTAAGTCATACCACAGCTTCTCAATTGGATTGAGGTCTGGGCTTTGACTAGGCCATTCCAAGACATTTAAATGTTTCCCCTTAAACCACTCAAGTGTTGCTTTAGCAGTATGCTTAGGGTCATTGTCCTGCTGGAAGGTGAACCTCAAATCTCTGGAAGACTGAAACAGGTTTCCTTCAAGAATTTCCCTGTATTTAGCGCCATCCATCATTCCTTCAATTCTGACCAGTTTTCCAGTCCCTGCCGATGAAAAACATCCCCACAGCATGATGCTGCCACCACCATGCTTCACTGTGGGTATGGAGTTCTCGGGGTGATGAGAGGTGTTGGGTTTGCGCCAGACATAGCGTTTTCCTTGATGGCCAAAAAGCTCAATTTTAGTCTCATCTGACCAGAGTAAATTCTTCCACATGTTTGGGGAGTCTCCCACATTCCTTTTGGCGAACACCAAACATGTTGCCTTATTTTTTTTCTTTAAGCAATGGCTTTTTTCTGCCCACTCTTCCGTAAAGCCCAGCTCTGTGGAGTGTACAGCTTAAAGTGGTCCTATGGACAGATACTCCAATCTCAACTGTGACGCTTTGCAGCTCCTTCAGGGTTATCTTTGGTCTCTTTGTTGCCTCTGATTAATGAGTTGCCTGGTCCGTGAGTTTTGGTGGGCGGCCCTCTCTTGGCAGGTTTGTTGTGGTGCCATATTCTTTCAATTTTTTTAAATAATGGATTAAAAATGGTGCTCCGTGGGATGTTAAAAGTTTCTGATATTTTTTTATAACCTAACCCTGATCTGTACTTCTCCACAACTTTGTCCCTGACCTGTTTGGAGAGCTCCTTGGTCTTCATGGTGCCGCTTGCTTGGTGGTGCCCCTTGCTTAGTGGTGCCCCTTGCTTGGTGGTGCCGCTTGCTTGGTGGTGCCGCTTGCTTGGTGGTGCCGCTTGCTTGGTGGTGCCGCTTGCTTGGTGGTGCCCCTTGCTTGGTGGTGTCCCTTGCTTAGTGGTGTTGCAGACTCTGGGGCCTTTCAGAACAGGTGTATATATACACTGAGATCATGTGACAGATCATGTGACACAGATTGCACACAGGTGGAATTTATATTATGTGACTTCTGAAGGTAATTGGTTGCACCAGATCTTATTTAGGGGCCAAAGGGGGTGAATACATATGCACGCACCACTTTTCAGTTATTTATTAATTTTTTGAAGAAAGTAATTTTTTTCATTTCACTTCACCAATTTGGAAAATGTTGTGTATGTCCATTACATGAAATCCAAATAAAAATCAATTTAAATTACAGGTTGTAATGCAACAAAATAGGAAAAACGCCAAGGGGGATGAATACTTTTGCAAGACACTGTATATATGTTTGACCAGAGCTCTATGGGGAATAGGGTGCGATTTGGGACAAAGCCCTAGACTGGTATTCATCAAAGTCAGTGGACTAATTATCACCTGCTCCAACCCCCCACTCTCCAGTCTCCCCTACCCTCCCAGTCCCCCTCCCTCCCACTCCTCCCCCACTCTCCCCTCCCCTCCCCTCCCCACCCCCTACCCTCCCACTCCCCCTCCCCACTCCCCCTCCCCCCCACTCTCCCCTCCCCTCCCACCCTCCCCTCCCCTCCCACTCTCCCCTACCCTCCCACTCTCCCCTCCCCTCCACACTCCCCCTCCCCTCCCACCTCCTCCCACCTCCCTCCCACTCCCACTCCCTCCCCTCCCACCTCCTCCCATCCCCTCCCACTCCTCCCCCTCCCCCTCCCCCCACCCCCCTCCCTCCCACTCCTCCCCTCCCCTCCACCTCTCCCCTCCCCTCCCACTCTCCCCTCCCTCCCATCCCCCCTCCTCCCCTCCCCACCCACTCTCCACTCTCCCCCTCCCCCCACTCTCACCTCCCTCCCCTCCCACTCCTCCCCTACCCTCCCACTCTCCTCCCCTCCCTCCCACTCTCCCCTACCCTCCCACTCTCCCCTACCCTACTCTCCCCTACCCTCCCACTCTCCCCTACCCTCCCACTCTCTAATAGAGCTCAGTAGCTCAGTATTTGTATCATTTCTTATAGTATATTTTGCTCATTTCTATCAAGGAATCCAATCATTTTGGACCTGACTGTAGATCAAGCTATAAAGGAAGATTGAAAAGTCTTTAATTACTCCACATACCCGTTCAATGCTGTGTTGCAAGCGCAGCTTCATACGAACAACCTCCTGCTGTTTAAACATCTCCTTCAGTTGGTCCGGCAGAGACGGAGGGGGAGTTATCTGTTACAGAGACAAATAAACATTAGAAACGGTTCAACATCATGGAACTTTAAGATTTGTTAAATAAGACCCTTTAACGCTGGTGTCTTGAGTGGAGGACTTTAGCAATAAATAAAAAATAAAAATTTCCCAGAAACCACTTGAAATCACTTTAAAATGGAGGAAACGACAAGAAAGGAAGAGAAAAAAAGAAAAGGAGAAGAGGTCATAAAAGAGGTCATAAAAGAAGAGGTCTTGGAGACCCTATGAATAAACAGACAGACTCACATAAGAGGAGAGAAGATGAATAAATGAGTTGATTAAAAAGGAAACTCCAGACTCACAGTTGGAATACAGAGTTTGCTGAGCGGGTTCCCGTCCAGCAGGTAAGATCCTGTAAACGTCACGTATTCGTCGTAATACTGCGGCGGCTGGGGGATGACGCTCAGCAGCACTTTGCGCTTCTCCTCGATCTTCTTGCGGATGTGCAGGAACTCGTAGTAAGGGTTGGCCCTCTCTGTCTGGTACGGCTCAATCTCCTCCAGCTTCAGAGAGTCAACGATGGCCGCCAGAGACTGCTGATAAAGGGGGAAGAGACATACAGTAAGATAAGGTAGAGGAGATAAGAAACTTTACTGTCCCCAAGATAAGAAATGTTCACCCTTACAACTAGACCTACCACTCCTTACCTCTCTGCCTCCTCCCTTTCACCTACCCACTCTCCCCCTTCAAAACTTCTAATCTCCTTCCCCTCTCTTCCCTCCCTCCCTCCCTCCCTCACCTGTTGCGTGCTGCCTCCAGCCTGGTTGGAGGTAGACATCCTGGGCATCTTCCTCTTCCTGGGGTGTGTCTGCTGGAAGTCCTGGTCCTCCTCCATGGTTAGGGAGAGGACCTTGGCCTTAGCCCCGGAGGAGTCAGAGTCTCTGTCCCCTGACTGGGGGGAAGAGCTAGCAGAGACCCCACTGCTGCTGTAACTACTACCACTACCGCTCTGGTCTGTCTGAGAGCCCTGCTGGAAGTTACTACTCTGTCCAGAAGTACTCTGGGTGTGGTCTGATCCAACAATCGAGGGAGTCTGTCCTTCTGGTCTCTCCTCGGAGGTAGAAGACATTTCCATTGGCTCTGGGCATGGCTCTGACTTCACCTCAGGGACGGCGACCGTACTACTGCACTCTGATGAAGACCAATAACTAGCCCTTTCTGTTGACATGGCCTCAGGACCTCTGCTCTTCTCCAGTGTGCGGTCAGGAGCGTCGGACGTTTCTTGTCCCTTGTGTTCAGGGCTCGGGCAGCGCGACACAGTGGACGGTGTAAGCTGGTCGTTTTTGTCCGGCTGAGGATCGCTAGGACCCACGTCGTCACTGGAGAATCTGGATTTCTTACAGTCTTCTTGACTGTTCACGTCAGTGTCCATCTCCTCTGGAGAGTCCTTGGTTTTGCTGGTGGTGGTCGCCATGGACTCCTCTGTGCTAGCACTGGTGGAAGCTACTGGGTTGTCCATCCATTCCGGTCTAGACGCTACTAACGCACTCTCAGGGCTCTCTACAGCTGCTCTGCTTTCAGCGCTGCTGGCTGCACTCTCAACTGGAGCTTTATCTTTAGGATCGAGAGCCAGAGATGGATCAGTCTCCGTCTGCATCTGCTGGGAGGTCACCATACTGGCGTTTGGAAGGGTTTGCCATGACTGGCTAGCAGAGAGAGATGAGAACAGTGGTCGAGAGGAGAGAGATGACGCCACCATCATGTCCTCAGAGGGAAGCTCCTTCCTACTACATTCAGGCTCCGCACTGGAGGTCTCTACAGGGATACACTGTACGTCCCGTATTAGGAGAGGGTCAGAGGTGGAAGAAGACCCTCTCGGTGCTGGTGTAGCTAACTGTGGGACACCAGCCTGCGGAAGTGTTGAGGAGTCCTTTACGTGAGGATCTCTGGTGTTGGATGCTTGAGGTGGGAGAAGGACACCTGAAGCGGTGTTCCCTTCACTCTCAGTGTTGAGATCTGCATCTGTTCTTGGAGCGGTGTTCCCTTCACTCTCAGTGTTGAGTTCCGCATCTGTTCTTGGAGCGGTGTTCCCTTCACTCTCAGTGTTGAGATCCGCATCTGTTCTTGGAGCGGTGTTCCCTTCACTCTCAGTGTTGAGATCTGCATCTGTTCTTGGAGTGGTGTTCCCTTCACTCTCAGTGTTGAGATCTGCATCTGTTCTTGGATTAGGGAGATTCGGAAGCATCTGAACAGGACCGCTTTGACTTTGGCTCTCCTCTGGATCTGCACAGGTTTCTAAAGGCTTAACACTTGTGGACTCTTCACTGGGTTGAGCAGCAGGCACCACGGCGGCCTTTGACTGAGTTTCGAACGGTTTGCCCTCAGACGCCGTTGCACAGTTAGCATCTTCGTCCAGAATAGCCCTAAGGTAAGGGGAAGCGTGTCTGCTCTGCAGCGGAGTCCGGTTACCTTGCCCCACCGCTTCTGGAAGACTGTTGTAGTCTTTGTCGTGAACAGCAGGCGATCTAGAATGTGAGAGGAGGGAAGACTGGAGGAAAGGAGGCTGAGAGTCCTGGGAGGCTTCCAGGGTCATATCCGAGTCGTACTCAATGGGTCTCGGCGTCAGCATGGTGGCCTGACAGGAGTCCTCAGAGCTGGCCACAGAGACCATGGACACAGACCTGGACATGAGACCCGACCGCTCACTTTCTGGCCTGGGGGACCTGCTCAAGCTGTTCTCCATACCAGCCACCAGCTTCCCACTGAGGCAGGAGAGTGTCTTCCCGTCCAGAGACACGGTTCTGGAGCTGGTGCTGTCCTTAAGGGGTTTGTCTCGGTCCCGGAAGTTAACATCGGAGGAGCTTTCAGAGCTCTTGGAGCGAAGCAATTCTTTGCTCAAGCACGGTTCTCCACAAGATGAGGACGTCATCTTGGCCTTGGCTTTGCTTTTGAGCTTCCCTGGGTCTGTCGTCGTAGAGGGCCGTTGTTTCATCCTCTCCCTCTCCTTCTGTTTGATCTTTTCTAGGTGTTTCCGGTGCCACTGTTCAATCTCCTGGTCCTTCAGACTCAGCATGCGTTCGAAGCTGGTCTGCCTCAGGTCTTCGTTGTCCAGACGTTTCTCTTTGGGCCTCTGCTCTTCCCGGGTGACAGGTGAGGCCTTAACTTTGGACCTGTTTTCTCGGTCAGTCTCGGTCTCGTTGGGTTTGGTCTTACTGGCCTTGCTAACCTCCTTGGAACGGTCCTTGTCGCACTTGTGACGCTCTTTGTCCCGATCTCGGTGCCGGTCAGAGTCTCTGGATTCTCGGTCTCTCCGGTCTTTCTCTGGCGTCTTTGGGAGGTCCTCGGTCTTTAGTAGTTTTGCTGGTATGGTCTTGCCACTTTCAGACACATAGCCCTTCTCCTCCAAGAGAAGCTTCAGGTTAGAGCTGGAGGAAGATGAGGAAGAGCCGTCTTTAGATTTTTCCTTTTTCTTCTTATCGCAGTCTTTGTCTTTCTCCTTTTCCTTAGAGCGATCTGATTTACTGTGGTCCACGGATTTCTCCGAGGGTGGTTTTCCTTTCTTATCGGAGCTCGTCCTGTCTTTGTGTTCTCCCGCGCTGTACTCCCTCTCCTGCCTCTCCCTGTCACTCCTCTTATCTGGCTTGTCTTTGCTCTTCTTGTCCTTGCTCTCCTCGTGTTTTTTCGTCGTGGACAAGGCTCTGAGCTTCTCGATCTCTTTGTGGTTCTTGTCACCAGGGGACGCCGTCCTTTCCTTCTCCCTCTCTTTCCAGCGATCCATGGAATTCTGGGAATTCTCAGGGTGCTCAATCTTGACCTTCTTCTCCTTGTCAGGATGCTTTTTATCCGTCTTGTCAGCCTCCCGTTCCTTTACAGAAGGCCTCCTGTCTGATTTGTCCCGCTGGCCTTTCTCAGAGGCATCCAGCTGGTCTGAATCAGCCGTAGACGGGGTCCCCGTTACCGGTTTCTCCTCCGGTTCGACTTTCACACTGGTGGGGTTATGCTGCGTCTCCTCAGGAACTGAAACCCGTCCCGAGCTTAGGCACTCCGTTCTCTCCTCACGCTCACTGAGCTTCCCATCCTTTCCCCCCCTCTCCTCTTTACAGACAGCAGAGGTCTCTTTCCTCTCTTTCTTCAAGCGCTCCTCTCTCGGCCTCTTCTCCTTGCTGCTAGAGGGGTGTTTTTCTTTTGTCCCTCTCTCTTCCTTGACAGGAGAGCTGCCCAATGTATTCTGAGGAGATCCGCAGTCCTCCCTCTCCGTTTTCCCTGGAGGCAAAGGTTCGTCATCATTGAAGAAGTTCTCTTTCCAGAACTCCCGGTCGAACTCCAGGTTCCTGTGGCCGTCCTTCCTACTGCCCTCTTTCTGCCGGTGGCGGTTCCTCTCCGTCTCATACTCCCTCCTGGGCTTGTCCTTCTCCTTGTGTTTTAGCTTATGCTTCTTGACCACCTTGCCGTCCTTGTCCGTCTTCCGTAAGGCACCACCCTCAGAGCTGTCGACACTGTTGGCCACGCTGACGTCTTTATTATACGGACTGGAGCCCCCATCTTCCCCCACCGCACCACCGCCAGCGTCCACGGTGACGTCCTTCTGGTGGTGCTTGCTCTTCTCCTTGTGCTTGCAGCCTTTACTACTGGAGCTTTCCGTGCAGAACTCGGACTCTGGGTTGTAGTGGTTGTACTTGACACCATCCGGCGGACAGGGGCCTTCGGCAATCGAGACGCACGTCATCTTGGCGTTCTCCTGTTTGAGCGGGTTGAAGGACGGCTGCTTGTCGGCCAGGCCGTGGTTGAGCTTGGGGGACTTGACGGTGGCGGACAGGTGGAAGAGGTGGACGGACGAGTCGTCCTTGGGACTGAAGGACATCTTGAACGAGTCTTCGTCCCCACAGAGACCCCGGCTGTTCTTGTCCGTGTGCGTCTCTGACACAGACACGGTGGCTACGGAGAACACCAGCGCTTTGCTGTTCTCCTTCCCGTCCTCCTGGTTCTCCTTGTTCTTGTTCTTGCTCTTGTTCTTCTTCTTTACTTTGCTGCCTTTGTCTTTCTTTTCGGAAGTCACGAGGTTCTCTTTCTTAGTCCTGCTGGCGTCTGACGCCTTGTGTCCCTCCGAGCCGTGGGAGCAGGTCGGAGAGCTCCTTCTCTCTGACGGCATCTCCATCTCATCACTGGAACTATCCGAGCTGCAGTACAGGACGCGGGACGACGTCTTTGTCTTCTTAGACTTAGAGGACTGGACAGAGCCGCTCTGCTTCGCGGCCAATTGATCCTTCTCTTCCTGCCTCAGCTCTCTCCGGAGGATGTGTCTGTCGTTCAGGGCTTTACTCAGGTCTTCTTCTTCCTCCTCGTCTTTGAACTCATACTCATCCAGGCCGGACATGGAGGGTGAGGCCTTCACGGTGCTCCGTTTGCCGTCAGAGACCTTCTCCACGTCCGAGTCATCCATGTTGTCATCATCCACGTCCACACTTGAGGGGTTTACCGACGGAGGGTCTTCAGACTCTGTAGAGATAAGAGGAAAAGAGAATACTTAAAATCTTGAAAACAGAGTAAATAGCCTTGTTTTCTAATCAAGTTTTGATTACAAGTAGGGGATGGCCGTTTGAAATGATTTCACAATTCAAATAATATACATTTCCCCCCCCCCCAGATATCCGGATAGTCCCCCCCCAGATATCCGGATAGTCGAAATACATGCATTTTACAGAAAAGTTTTTAGTATATATTTTTTACTTCAATGGGGACTTGCTCACGTGACTCAGGAAAGGCAGTCTGTTGTCTCAGACGGATGGGGGAGGGGCACAAGAGGAGCCATTTAGCAGACACTTTTATCCTAAGCGACTTAGTCATGCGTGCATACATTTTTTATTTGTGTAAGAGTGGTCCCGGGGATCGAACCCACTACCTTGGCGTTACAAGCGCCGTGCTCTACCAGCTGAGCTACAGAGGACCACGTGGCACCGTCATAGGATGCCACCTTTCCAACAAGGCAGTTCGTAAAATGTCTACCCTGCTAGAGCTGCCCCGGTCAACTGTAAGTGATGTTATTGTGTAGTGGAAACGTCTAGGAGCAACAACGGCTCAGCTGCGAAGTGGTAGGCCACACAAGCTCACAGAACGGGACCGCGGAGTGCTGAAGCACGTAAAAATCGTCTGTCCTCGGCTGCAACACTCACTACCGAGTTCCAAACTGCCTCCGGAAGCAACTTCAGCACAATAACTGTTTATGTTTATTCGGGAGCTTTATGAAACGGGTTTCCATGGCTGAGCAGCCGCACACAAGCGTCAGCCGGAGTGGTGTAAAGCTCGCCGCCATTGGACTCTGGAGCAGTGGAAATGCGTTCTTTAGGAGTGATGAATCACGCTTCACCATCTGGCAGTCCGACGGATGAATCTGGGTTTGGCGGATGCCAGGAGAACGCTACCTGCCCGAATGCATAGTGCCAACTGTAAAGTTTGGTGGAGGAGGAATAATGGTCTGGAGCAGTTTTTCATGGTTCGGGCCCCTTAGTTCCAGTGAAGGGAAATCCTAATGCTACAGCATACAATTACATTCTAGACAATTCTGTGCAACCCCATCCAACACCTCTGGGATGAATTGGAACGCCGACTGCGAGCCAGGCCTAATCGCCCAACATCAGCGGCCGACCTCACTAATGCTCTTGTGGCGGAATGGAAGCAAGTCCCTGCAGCAATGTTCAAACATCTAGTGGAAAGCCTTCCCAGAAGACTGGTGGCTGTTATAGCATTAAAAAGGGGACTAGGGCTGTTGCGGTGACTGTAATAGCACCACACTGGCGGTCACGAGTCATGACGGCAGTCAAATTCCAGATGACCATTTAGTCACGGTAATTAGGCTTCTCCAAGCTCTGATGCTGCTGAATGTCATTAGTATCCTACCAAACTTGCTAACTGCCTGGTACTCAGCACTCTATTGTCCCTCTAATCACTCTGACATCAATGCAAATGTAATACAAAATCTAATCAAACGCTTCATGAGAGCCCATGAGCTCATGTTGCGCAACATTTCTATAGGCTACGCAATTGCGTGAGAAAACAGAGTGATGGCCTCTATTAAAAAGAGGAGGATCCCATCAGCTTTCTATAGGCTAGGCCTACTATATTTATTTCTCAACTTTCCTAATATTAAGCACATTGCTTATATTTACAACAGGAGTATAGCCTACCTGGCTGGCATGAAAATGAATCACGGGAAAAGCGTCCTCCATCCGCTATTTAATTGCATAGATGACATGTATTTTTTCCCGCTGCCCCTGTTTATAATATGTTGTATATGTAAAGACAAGATTAAATCAAGAATAGTCTGATGGTTGACAATATTAGCCTATCACTTGTGAATTATATATTATCACTTGTGAATGAAGCCCAGCATAAGAAACAGCCTTTTTGTGTGACTTTTTCTAAATCATAGTCGCACACCTCATGTAGCCTAGCCCATAGGCCTATATGTTTTAATAAGGTTTGTATCACAACTAAAGTGGCCAATTAACTTCTTAAAATGAAGCACATTAATCCACTTTACAAGCGGTGTAGAGCCTAACTGGCATACATAAGCAGCGCGTGAGTTTCAAGTTTTGGGGAAGATTAATTTACACCATAAAAATGCACCTTTATAATAAAAGCATTACATGAATAATCGCATTTGAGGTCACTTTTGATAATGGTGTTTTCCCGCTAATGGACCATTCACGCTTATAGCCTACTGCCGTGTGCGCATTGCTGCACTTATAATGTGAAGAAATAGCCTAATAGTTTATCAACATTTTAAGCTAAACGTTCTTATCTGTTGTGTCAGCCACATTGCATAAAACATGTTATTTTTTTGTTTTTTGATGCTAGTGGTTGTATTAATTTGGGATCTATTGCATCCCACAACTGTCCCAGACTATGTTTGGAATATTTATTTATCTCACAGAATAGAACAGGTCGACTTCTGTACTATGGGGGATAGTAGATTGACATGGGCTAGTGCTTTTGCTGTTCGTTAAGCCTTCTCATCTTGTTGGCTGACGAAAAGTAAAAATGTGGACAGTTCTTCCAATATCTTCAACATTGTGACCACCACAGCCCCAAAGGGGGGGCCAACTCCATATTAACGCTATGATTTTGGAATGAGATGTTGGACGAGCAGTGGCCCTGTAGTGTAAGTTAGTTCAAAAAGATAGCTAGCTAGCTACACTAGCCAGATAAGTTAGCCAGCTACCTAGCTAGCAAGGCTAATTGAGGCTACTTTGCTGCGCTCCCCGCGTCCTTGTCCACAACAACTCCATTCATATTAAACAGCCCACCTGTTGGTTGATCACTGTAGCCTACTCCTTCTCATTTAGCCAACTTCATTCTGTAATTGTAATTCCATTTAGCATTGATTAGAAATCTTCCACTTCACTTGCTACAACGGATGGAGCCTCTGACGGTAGTGCTGCTTTGATTGACCGACAATAACAAGCTACATGTGTGAATAGTATGTAGGCTACGGGTATGTTTTTTTTAATGGGCTGCACTGTTTTATTAAAATGTCTACCGTCATGGTCTATCCTTGTATGTAGCAACGTCACATAGATACATTAAATTAAAATTTTAGACAAAGCCTTTTCATTAAAATAGGCTATATGTTTTTTCTTCTCAAAAAATGAATACTCTCGCAAGTAATCGAATACTAACGTCCGTTTGGATATTCGAATAACCGTGCCCATCCCTAATTACAAGGTGAATTGCTGTTTAGGTATTCCCAGTTGAACAGCCAAGCAGATTCTTGACAAATGAGGGAGATCTATAACTTACACTTTTTTTGGGAAATACCACAAAATCTAATAATTATGGTTTTTAAAGATGATATGATAAAAACAAAACAAATATTGATAAAGATAACACACACACCCCTCCATGACACCACACCTGGGTAGCTATCCCCTCCAGGACACCATACCTGAGGAGCTATCCCCTCCAGGACACCATACCTGAGGAGCTATCCCCTCCAGGACACCACACCTGGGGAGCTATCCCCTCCAGGACACCACACCTGGGGAGCTATCCCCTCCAGGACACCACACCTGGGGAGCTATCCCCTCCAGGACACCACACCTGGGGAGCTATCCCCTCCAGGACACCACACCTGGGGAGCTATCCCCTCCAGGACACCACACCTGGGGAGCTATCCCCTCCAGGACACCACACCTGGGGAGCTATCCCCTCCAGGACACCACACCTGGGGAGCTATCCCCTCCAGGACACCACACCTGAGGAGCTATCCCCTACAGGACACCATACCTGAGGAGCTATCCTCTACAGGACACCATCCCTGAGGAGCTATCCCCTCCAGGACACCATACCTGAGGAGCTATCTATCTTCTACAGGACACCATCCCTGAGGAGCTATCTATCTTCTACAGGACACCATCCCTGAGGAGCTATCTATCTTCTACAGGACACCATCCCTGAGGAGCTATCTATCTTCTACAGGACACCATCCCTGAGGAGCTATCCTCTACAGGACACCACACCTGAGGAGCTATCCCCTACAGGACACCATACCTGAGGAGCTATCCCCTACAGGACACCATACCTGAGGAGCTATCCTCTACAGGACACCATACCTGAGGAGCTATCCTCTACAGGACACCACACCTGAGGAGCTATCTATCTTCTACAGGACACCATACCTGAGTAGCTATCTTCTACAGGACACCATACCTGAGGAGCTATCTATCCCCTACAGGACACCATACCTGAGGAGCTATCTATCCCCTACAGGACACCATACCTGAGGAGCTATCCCCTACAGGACACCATACCTGAGGAGCCATCTATCCCCTACAGGACACCATACCTGAGGAGCTATCCTCTACAGGACACCATACCTGAGGAGCTATCCTCTACAGGACACCACACCTGAGGAGCTATCCCCTACAGGACACCATACCTGGGGAGCTATCCTCTACAGGACACCACACCTGGGGAGCTATCCTCTACAGGACACCATACCTGAGGAGCTATCCTCTACAGGACACCATACCTGAGGAGCTATCCCCTCCAGGACACCATACCTGAGGAGCTATCCTCTGCGTCTGAGAGGGGCACCTCCCCCTTTAGGAGGAGCTCCAGCTCCCGGGAATCAGCGATGTCTACGGGTCGCTCCCCTCGCCTGTTGGCCTGGAACGCATTCCCTCCGTGTCTCAGCAGCAGCTTCACAATCTAGACGGAGAGGACAGGACAAGTGATTAGTTGCAATCTCTAGGTCCAGCTTGTTGGACTCCGGTCCATCTTTGTGAATATTTACGTCAGTGTGGTTTTTAAATAAAATGTTGATCGTCTTTGAACTCCCCGAAACTCAAGACAGCAGATCATTTCCTGAATAAAAAAGGTCAATAAATTGTGAAGTAGTTTTAAAATCTAAGCAGTACTCCCAAGGTTAAGAAAACCAGCGGTGGTTACGTGTAGGTAGGCCGAGGGGTGAACGTACGTCTGTGTGTCCACTACTGGAGGCATCGTGGAGCGGCGCGTCGTCATCCAGCCCCTGAGTGTTGACCTCTGCACCTGCCGCGATCAGGACCTTGGCCACGTCGTAGTAACCAAGGTTACATGCCTCGTGAAGAGGGGTCCAGCCTGACGAAGGAAGAAATGGTATTTTGAGGGGAAACTGGAATGGGGTCAGCGCCTAATACGTTGCAGCCTTATGGCTCCGCAGGGGATGGAGTAAGAATTAGGCGTTTTAACAAGCCACCCTGGTAAATGACTCAAATGTGTATGTACATCTTTAAAAGTTACGCGGACCTTTCTAGTTTATAACGAGTGGTCAGGTGTTCCTTTACCTGCAAAGTCTTTGACGTTGACGTCGGCCCCGAGGCTGATGAGCTCCTTGACATGCTTGGCGTCCCCCCGTATGGCCGCCATGTGTAGCGGCGTCTCTCCACGCTCGTTCCTCTTGTTCACCTTGTCCCTCGCTCTGGAGGCCGAGCTGCTGGGGGGCTTCTTCTGCACCGGGGGGGCCTGGGACGGGTGGCTGGGGGTCGAGTCTGAGGAGGAGAGGGAGAGAGAAATGACTCAACAGAGAAAGTGATTTTTCTGATAACTGGGAGGTCCATTATCAACAAGGTTGTTGTAATAATAATAATAATAATAATAATAATAATAATAATAATAATAATAATAATAAGCCATTTATCAGACGCTTTTATCCAAAGCGACTTACAGTCATGTGTGCATACATTTTTACGTATGGGTGGTCCCGGGGATCGAACCCACTACCCTGGCGTTACAAGCGCCATGCTCTACCAGCTGAGCTACAGAGGACCAAGCGCCGTGCTCTACCAGCTGAGCTACAGAGGACCAAGCGCCGTGCTCTACCAGCTGAGCTACAGAGGACCATTATCAACAAGGCTGTTGATGACTCTGAATCCTGATAAATATAGTAACCATCAACATCTCTAAGAGGTTAGGAGAGGGAGAGGAGGAGGAGGAGGAGAAGAGAGGGAGAGGAGGAGGAGAGGAGGAGAGGAGGAGGAGGAGAGAGGGAGAGGAGGAGGAGGAGGAGAAGAGAGGGAGAGGAGGAGGAGAGGAGGAGAGGAGGAGGAGGAGAGAGGGAGAGGAGGAGAAGAGAGGGAGAGGAGGCGAGGGAGAGGGAGAGAAGGAGAGGGAGAGAAGGAGAAGAGAGGAGACAGGGCATGAATGTTTTCTGACTAACCTGGGCTGTTGTCCCTGGCGGTCATCTGCATCAGTAGGGCCATCTGCTTGCGTTCCGACAGCGGGTAGCCAAACAGAAGATTGACCGGGACCTTCTTACTTCCCCCAGACTCCTTCTTGTTTTTCTTCTTATCCGGGCCGTCTTTATCTACAGACAGAGTTAGGACAGACAACAGGGTTAGACTTAGAAACCAGACAAATACACACGCCTCCATTTCTGCCAAACCAGCAAGGTGTGAATCCCAAAATGCATCTTATTCCCTATATAGCCTAGTGTAGCAGCGCTCTATGGACCCCGGTCGAAAGTAGTGCACTATATAGGAGACAGGGTGCCATTTGGGATGCAGACAAGATCATCAACAACAAGGGTGATGCAATAAGGTGATGAAGTGGACCCCCCCCACCCCACCCCACCCCCACATATTTTGCACCGTATCTCTCGATCACGCCACGCTAAAAAAAACGGTTAGCGAGCACGGCGTCCTTAAAGAGGGGCCAGCACAGTGTGTGATGTAAGTATCCCCTATGCATCACTCATAACAAGATCAAGCCAACATACAGACATGCGTGAGGTGAGCTAGCTAGCGAGCTCTAGAAAGCAGGCAGAGGGTGTTTAGAGTGTAAAAGTGTAGGGTAGGAAGACAGGGGGATCAGACTAACATAACAGGGTAGGAAGACAGGGGGATCAGACTAACATAACAGGGTAGGGTAGGAAGACAGGGGGATTAGACTAACATAACAGGGTAGGGTAGGAAGACAGGGGGATCAGACTAACATAACAGGGTAGGGGAGGAAGACAGGGGGATCAGACTAACATAACAGGGTAGGAAGACAGGGGGATCAGACTAACATAACAGGGTAGGGTAGGAAGACAGGGGGATCAGACTAACATAACAGGGTAGGGTAGGAAGACAGGGGGATCAGACTAACATAACAGGGTAGGAAGACAGGGGGATCAGACTAACATAACAGGGTAGGGTAGGAAGACAGGGGGATCAGACTAACATAACAGGGTAGGAAGACAGGGGGATCAGACTAACATAACAGGGTAGGAAGACAGGGGGATCAGACTAACATAACAGGGTAGGAAGACAGGGGGATCAGACTAACATAACAGGGTAGGAAGACAGGGGGATCAGACTAACATAACAGGGTAGGAAGACAGGGGGATCAGACTAACATAACAGGGTAGGAAGACAGGGGGATCAGACTAACATAACAGGGTAGGAAGACAGGGGGATCAGACTAACATAACAGGGTAGGAAGACAGGGGGATCAGACTAACATAACAGGGTAGGAAGACAGGGGGATCAGACTAACATAACAGTGTAGGGTAGGAAGACAGGGGGATTAGACTAACATAACAGGGTAGGGTAGGAAGACAGGGGGATCAGACTAACATAACAGTGTAGGGTAGGAAGACAGGGGGATTAGACTAACATAACAGGGTAGGGTAGGAAGACAGGGGGATTAGACTAACATAACAGGGTAGGGTAGGAAGACAGGGGGATCAGACTAACATAACAGGGTAGGAAGACAGGGGGATCAGACTAACATAACAGGGTAGGGTAGGAAGACAGGGGGATCAGACTAACATAACAGGGTAGGAAGACAGGGGGATCAGACTAACATAACAGTGTAGGGTAGGAAGACAGGGGGATCAGACTAACATAACAGTTGTAGGGTAGGAAGACAGGGGGATCAGACTAACATAACAGGGTAGGAAGACAGGGGGATCAGACTAACATAACAGGGTAGGAAGACAGGGGGATCAGACTAACATAACAGGGTAGGAAGACAGGGGGATCAGACTAACATAACAGGGTAGGAAGACAGGGGGATCAGACTAACATAACAGTGTAGGGTAGGAAGACAGGGGGATCAGACTAACATAACAGTGTAGGGTAGGAAGACCGGGGGATCAGACTAACATAACAGGGTAGGAAGACAGGGGGATCAGACTAACATAACAGGGTAGGAAGACAGGGGGATCAGACTAACATAACAGGGTAGGAAGACAGGGGGATCAGACTAACATAACAGGGTAGGAAGACAGGGGGATCAGACTAACATAACAGTGTAGGGTAGGAAGACAGGGGGATCAGACTAACATAACAGTGTAGGGTAGGAAGACAGGGGGATCAGACTAACATAACAGGGTAGGAAGACAGGGGGATCAGACTAACATAACAGGGTAGGAAGACAGGGGGATCAGACTAACATAACAGGGTAGGAAGACAGGGGGATCAGACTAACATAACAGGGTAGGAAGACAGGGGGATCAGACTAACATAACAGGGTAGGGTAGGAAGACAGGGGGATCAGACTAACATAACAGGGTAGGAAGACAGGGGGATCAGACTAACATAACAGGGTAGGGTAGGAAGACAGGGGGATCAGACTAACATAACAGTGTAGGGTAGGAAGACAGGGGGATCAGACTAACATAACAGGGTAGGAAGACAGGGGGATCAGACTAACATAACAGGGTAGGAAGACAGGGGGATCAGACTAACATAACAGGGTAGGAAGACAGGGGGATCAGACTAACATAACAGTGTAGGGTAGGAAGACAGGGGGATCAGACTAACATAACAGTGTAGGGTAGGAAGACAGGGGGATCAGACTAACATAACAGGGTAGGAAGACAGGGGGATCAGACTAACATAACAGGGTAGGGTAGGAAGACAGGGGGATCAGACTAACATAACAGTGTAGGGTAGGAAGACAGGGGGATCAGACTAACATAACAGGGTAGGAAGACAGGGGGATCAGACTAACATAACAGGGTAGGAAGACAGGGGGATCAGACTAACATAACAGGGTAGGGTAGGAAGACAGGGGGATCAGACTAACATAACAGGGTAGGGTAGGAAGACAGGGGGATCAGACTAACATAACAGTGTAGGGTAGGAAGACAGGGGGATCAGACTAACATAAACAGGGTAGGAAGACAGGGGGATCAGACTAACATAACAGGGTAGGGTAGGAAGACAGGGGGATCAGACTAACATAACAGTGTAGGGTAGGAAGACAGGGGGATCAGACTAACATAACAGGGTAGGAAGACAGGGGGATCAGACTAACATAACAGGGTAGGAAGACAGGGGGATCAGACTAACATAACAGGGTAGGAAGACAGGGGGATCAGACTAACATAACAGGGTAGGGTAGGAAGACAGGGGGATCAGACTAACATAACAGGGTAGGGTAGGAAGACAGGGGGATCAGACTAACATAACAGTGTAGGGTAGGAAGACAGGGGGATCAGACTAACATAACAGGGTAGGGTAGGAAGACAGGGGGATCAGACTAACATAACAGGGTAGGGGTAGGAAGACAGGGGGATCAGACTAACATAACAGTGTAGGAAGACAGGGGGATCAGACTAACATAACAGTGTAGGGTAGGAAGACAGGGGGATCAGACTAACATAAACAGTGTAGGGTAGGAAGACAGGGGGATCAGACTAACATAACAGGGTAGGAAGACAGGGGGATCAGACTAACATAACAGTGTAGGAAGACAGGGGGATCAGACTAACATAACAGGGTAGGAAGACAGGGGGATCAGACTAACATAACAGGGTAGGGTAGGAAGACAGGGGGATCAGACTAACATAACAGGGTAGGAAGACAGGGGGATCAGACTAACATAACAGTGTAGGAAGACAGGGGGATCAGACTAACATAACAGTGTAGGGTAGGAAGACAGGGGGATCAGACTAACATAACAGGGTAGGGTAGGAAGACAGGGGGATCAGACTAACATAACAGGGTAGGAAGACAGGGGGATCAGACTAACATAACAGGGTAGGAAGACAGGGGGATCAGACTAACATAACAGGGTAGGAAGACAGGGGGATCAGACTAACATAACAGGGTAGGAAGACAGGGGGATCAGACTAACATAACAGGGTAGGGTAGGAAGACAGGGGGATCAGACTAACATAACAGGGTAGGGTAGGAAGACAGGGGGATCAGACTAACATAACAGGGTAGGAAGACAGGGGGATCAGACTAACATAACAGTGTAGGGTAGGAAGACAGGGGGATCAGACTAACATAACAGGGTAGGAAGACAGGGGGATCAGACTAACATAACAGTGTAGGAAGACAGGGGGATCAGACTAACATAACAGGGTAGGAAGACAGGGGGATCAGACTAACATAACAGGGTAGGAAGACAGGGGGATCAGACTAACATAACAGGGTAGGGTAGGAAGACAGGGGGATCAGACTAACATAACAGGGTAGGGTAGGAAGACAGGGGGATCAGACTAACATAACAGGGTAGGAAGACAGGGGGATCAGACTAACATAACAGGGTAGGAAGACAGGGGGATCAGACTAACATAACAGGGTAGGAAGACAGGGGGATCAGACTAACATAACAGGGTAGGAAGACAGGGGGATCAGACTAACATAACAGGGTAGGAAGACAGGGGGATCAGACTAACATAACAGGGTAGGAAGACAGGGGGATCAGACTAACATAACAGGGTAGGAAGACAGGGGGATCAGACTAACATAACAGGGTAGGAAGACAGGGGGATCAGACTAACATAACAGGGTAGGAAGACAGGGGGATCAGACTAACATAACAGGGTAGGAAGACAGGGGGATCAGACTAACATAACAGTGTAGGGTAGGAAGACAGGGGGATCAGACTAACATAACAGTGTAGGGTAGGAAGACAGGGGGATCAGACTAACATAACAGTGTAGGGTAGGAAGACAGGGGGATCAGACTAACATAACAGGGTAGGGTAGGAAGACAGGGGATCAGACTAACATAACAGGGTAGGAAGACAGGGGATCAGACTAACATAACAGGGTAGGAACAGGGATCCTAAACAGGTAGAAGACAGGGGGATCAGACTAACATAACAGGGTAGGAAGACAGGGGGATCAGACTAACATAACAGGGTAGGAAGACAGGGGGATCAGACTAACATAACAGGGTAGGAAGACAGGGGGATCAGACTAACATAACAGGGTAGGAAGACAGGGGGATCAGACTAACATAACAGGGTAGGTAGGAAGACAGGGGGATCAGACTAACATAACAGGGTAGGGTAGGAAGACAGGGGGATCAGACTAACATAACAGGGTAGGAAGACAGGGGGATCAGACTAACATAACAGGGTAGGAAGACAGGGGGATCAGACTAACATAACAGGGTAGGAAGACAGGGGGATCAGACTAACATAACAGGGTAGGAAGACAGCATAGCTGCATGCAAGGGAAGACTATAGGACACTGCAAGTGTGTTTACAGCAGAGCAGACAGTGTGGGGTACATGCCATGTTGTTGCTGCAGTTACTACTACGACGACACACACACACACGTGTATGTGTGTATTTGCATGTGTGTGTGTGTGTTAACAGCATTGTGGCGTAGCATAGCGTAGACTCGAGGACCCAGGCTGCAGCGACAGTTACCTGCTAAACACATCCTGCAGGGAGTCACTAACCTCCCCTCAGACTCTCCCCAGGACTCAGTGGACTGGCCTGGGTCTGACTCATCTACTGGGCAAAGCAGAGACACGGGAGGGAGTGGGAGAGAGAGAATAGAGGGGAGGAGGGGAAGAGGGAGGAGGGAGGGAAGAAAGAGGGAGGGAGGAAAGAGGGAGGGAGGGAGGAAAGAGGGAGGGAGGGAAGGAGGGAAGGAGGGAGGAAAGAGGGAGGGAGGGAAGGAGGGAGGAAAGAGGGAGGGAGGGAGGAAAGAGGGAGGGAGGGAGGGAGGAAAGAGGGAGGGAGGGAGGGAGGGAGGAAAGAAAGCGGGAGGAAAGAAAGAGGGAGGGAGGGAAGGAGGGAGGAAAGAGGGAGGAAAGAGGGAGGGAGGGAAGGAGGGAGGGAGAGGAGAGAGAGCAGGGGGAAAGCAACGCATTAATGCACGCCGCTCTCTCGCACACGCTCATTCACACGAACACACACATCTCACACAGATGAGTCATGAGTAGGCTACAGGAGACAGTGAAGATCCAGGGTGGGCTGTCCAGGGTGCTTTCCTTCACTCCCCAAAATAACACAACTAGCTCCTATGTTGCAGGCTGTTCAATTCAAACGCTCACTTGTCAGGATGTGACATATCACATGTCAGCTTGAGCCAGAAGACAGGATTTGACCTATCACACGTCAGCTAGAGCCAGAAGCAAGGATGTGACCTACAGCGCATTCGGAAACTATTCAGACCCCTTCACTTTTTCCACATTTTGTTATGTTACAGCCTTATTCTAAAATTGATTAAATTAACAATTTCCATCAATCTACACACAATACCCCATAATGACAAAGCGAAATAAGGTTTTTTGAAATATTTGCTATTTTATAAAAAATTACATTCAGACCCTTTGCTATGTGACTCGAAATGTCTGCAGCATTGAAGGTCCCCAAGAACATAGTGGCCCTCATCATTCTTAAAATGGAATCAGTTTGGCCGCCCAGCCTAACTGAACAATCGGGGGGAGAAGGGCCTTGGTCAGGGAGGGGACCAAGAACCTGATGGTCACTCTGACAGAGCTCCAGAGTTCCTCTGTGGAGATGGGAGAACCTTCCAGAAGGACAACCATCTCTGCAGCACTCCACCAATTAGGCCTTTATGGTAGAGTGGCCAGACGGAAGCCACTCCTCAGTAAAAGGCACATGACAGCCCGCTTGGAGTTTGCCTTTTTGCTTGGAGTTTGCCAAAAGGCACCTAAAGGACTGTCAGATCATGAGAAACAAGATTCTCTGGTCTGATAAAATCAAAATTGAACTCATTGGCCTGATTGCCAAGCGTCCCGTCTGGACGAAACCAGGCACCATCCCTACGGTGAAGCATGGTGGTTGCAGCATCATGCTGTGGGGATGTTTTTCAGCGGCAGGGACTGGGAGACAAGTCAGGATCGAAAGAAAGGTGAACGGAGCAAACAGAGATCCTTGATGAAAACCTGCTCCAGAGTGCTCAGGACCTCAGACTGGGGCGAAGGTTCACCTTCCAACAGGACAACGACCCTAAGCACACAGCCAAGACAACGCAGGAGTGGCTTCGTGACAAGTCTCTGAATGTCCTTGAGTGGCCCAGCCAGAGCCTGGACTTGAACCTGATCGAACATCTCTGGAGAGACCTGAAAATAGCAATCCAACCTGACAGCACTTGAGAGGATCTGCAGAGAAGAATGGGAGAAACTCCCCAAATAAAGGTGTGCCAAGCTTGTAGCATCATACCCAAAAAGACTCAAGCCTGTAATCGCTGCCAAAGGTGCTTCAACACAGTACTGAGTAAAGGGTCGGAATACTTATGTAAATGTGATATTTTTGTAAATGTTTTAGTACATTGGCAAAAATGTCTAAAAACGTGTTTTTGCTTTGTCATTATGGGGTATTGTATGAAGATTGATGAGGAAAAAATACAATTTAATCAATTTTAGAATAAGGCTGTAACGTAACAAAATGTGGAAAAATTCAAGGGGTCTGAATACTGGATTTGAGGATTTGACTTTTAACTAAAGACTTATCCTTTGACAATTCCTAATTCTGTTAAAAAAAGTGCAACTGGGAAAACCTGTAGTCAGAGTTGTAATGTATAGTAGACTCAATCCATTTCAACGAGGAGAAGAGGACAACCACGGCTCCATGGGGGTCTAGACTACACTGATGGGATTATGGGACATTCATTACAACATTTATTCAGCGCTAAAACGTGGAGGAGAAGGAGTATGGTTCACTGAGCGTGTGTGAAGGGGTATGGTTCACTGAGTGTGTGTGAAGGAGTATGGTTCACAGAGTGTGTGTGAAGGGGTATGGTTCACAGAGTGTGTGTGAAGGGGTATGGTTCACTGAGTGTGTGTGTGAAGGAGTATGGTTCACTGAGTGTGTGTGTGAAGGAGTATGGTTCACAGAGTGTGTGTGAAGGAGTATGGTTCACTGAGTGTGTGTGTGAAGGAGTATGGTTCACTGAGTGTGTGTGTGAAGGGGTATGGTTCACTGAGTGTGTGTGTGAAGGAGTATGGTTCACTGAGTGTGTGTGTGAAGGAGTATGGTTCACTGAGTGTGTGTGTGAAGGGGTATGGTTCACTGAGTGTGTGTGTGAAGGAGTATGGTTCACTGAGTGTGTGTGAAGGGGTATGGTTCACTGAGTGTGTGTGTGAAGGAGTATGGTTCACTGAGTGTGTGTGAAGGGGTATGGTTCACTGAGTGTGTGTGAAGGAGTATGGTTCACAGAGTGTGTGTGAAGGGGTATGGTTCACTGAGTGTGTGTGAAGGAGTATGGTTCACTGAGTGTGTGTGAAGGAGTATGGTTCACAGAGTGTGTGTGAAGGGGTATGGTTCACTGAGTGTGTGTGTGAAGGGGTATGGTTCACTGAGTGTGTGTGTGAAGGAGTATGGTTCACTGAGTGTGTGTGAAGGGGTATGGTTCACTGAGTGTGTGTGTGAAGGAGTATGGTTCACTGAGTGTGTGTGAAGGGGTATGGTTCACTGAGTGTGTGTGAAGGGGTATGGTTCACAGAGTGTGTGTGAAGGGGTATGGTTCACAGAGTGTGTGTGAAGGGGTATGGTTCACTGAGTGTGTGTGAAGGAGTATGGTTCACTGAGTGTGTGTGTGAAGGAGTATGGTTCACAGAGTGTGTGGACCTAGAGTGTCCTGTTTAGACCACCTTATCCAGGGTCCTCCTTCCTTTATAGTAATTACAGATTCAACCTCCAGTTTCAGGTCCAGGATCAGACCAAAACGACTGTTTATAGACTTCAAAAGAAAAGCAGCACTGTGTGTGTGTGTGTGTTGGCAAAGGTGCAATAAGGGGGTTTTAATATCCAAACCATGGGTTGGTTGGATACAGGGGACTGTGTGTGTGTGTGTGTGTGTGTGTGTGTGTGTGTGTGTGTGTGTGTGTGTGTGTGTGTGTGTGTGTGTGTGGCTGGTTACAGGGAAGCTATTACACCAGATGAATGCTTAGTTATACCGGCAATGATCTTAGGTTACAGCGCCACTACTGCCCCCAATACAACTAGATTATCGCTGGCTGATCCAGATGATTTGAGCTGAAGTGAAAACTAGAAGCTGAAGCTGTTGGTGGTGCAGTACAACAAGGCAGTCAGAACCTGAGTGCAGCATTTAACATTCACATTTAAAATCACTTAGCAGACGTGCTTATCAAGAGCGACTTAGTTAAAAAAAAAAAAAAAAGAGCTGTTGGTTCCTCTTTTTGATCATGTTGTTTACTTAACATTACTGTGAACATGTTCCCTATATCATACCAGTACAGCTGTTGTCTAGTTAACGTTACTCACAGGTCCTCAACTCACAGGTCCTCAACTGGCAGCTTCATTCAATAGTACCCGCAAAACGCCAGTCTCAACGTCAACAGTGAAGAGGCGACTCCGGGATGCTGACCTTCTAGGCAGAGTTGCAAAGAAAAAGTCATATCTCAGACTGGCCAAAAAAAAGAAACGATTAAGATGGGCAGTCTGAGATGTGGCTTTTTCTTTGCAACTCTGCCTAGAAGGTCAGCATCCCGGAGTCGCCTCTTCACTGTTGACGTTGAGACTGGTGTTTTGCGGGTACTATTTAATGAAGCTGCCAGTTTTCAGCTGTGCTAACATAATTGCAAAAGGGTTTCCTAATGATCAATTAGCCTTTTAAAATGATAAACTTGGATTAGCAAACACAACGTACCATTGGAACACAGGACTGATGGTTGCTGATAAATGGGCCTCTGTACGCCTATGTAGATATTCCATTAAAATTCAGCCGTTTCCAGCTACAATAGCCATTTACAATGTCTACACTGTATTTCTGATCAATTTGATGTTATTTTAATGAACCAAAAAAAATTGCTTTTCTTTCGAAAACAAGGACATTTCTAAGTGACCCCAAACTTCTGAATGGTAGTGTGTGTGTGTGTGTGTGTGTGTGTGTGTGTGTGTGTGTGTGTGTGTACACAAACACATGGTAGTGTGTGTATATAGTAGTGTGTATATATAGTAGTGTATAATTTAAATTTAATCAATATCACAATTCCATTTGGTCAGAAGTTTACATACACGAAGTTGACTGTGCCTTTAAACAGCTTGGAAAATTCCAGAAAATGATGTCATGGCTTTAGAAGCTTCTGATAGGCTAATTGACATCATTTGAGTCAATTGGAGGTGTACCTGTGGATGTATTTCAAGGCCTACCTTCAAACTCAGTGCCTCTTTGGTTGACATCATGGGAAAATCAAAAGAAAATCAGCCAAGACCTCAGAAAATAAATTGTAGACCTCCACAAGTCTGGCTCATCCTTGGGAGCAATTTCCAAACGCCTGAAGGTACCACGTTCATCTGTACAAACAATAGTACGCAAGTATAAACACCATGGGACCACGCAGCCGTCATACCGCTCAGGAAGGAGACGCGTTCTGTCTCCTAGAGATGAATGTACTTTGGTGTGAAAAGTGCAAATCAATCCCAGAACAGCAGCAAAGGACCTTGTGAAGATGCTGGAGGAAACAGGTACAAAAGTATCTATATCCACAGTAAAACAAGTCCTATATCGACATAACCTGAAAGGCCTCTCAGCAAGGAAGAAGCCACTGCTCCAAAACCACCATAAAAAGCCAGACTACGGTTTGCAACTGCACATGGGGACAAAGATCGTACTTTTTGGAGAAATGTCCCCTGGTCTGATGAAACAAAAATAGAACTGTTTGGCCATAATGAACATAAAAGCAAAAAAAGAAACGTTCCTTTTTCAGGACCCTGTCTTTCAAAGATAATTCGTAAAAATCCAAATAACCTCACAGATCTTCATTGTAAAGGGTTTAAACACTGTTTCCCATGCTTGTTCAATGAACCATAAACAATTAATGAACATGCACCTGTGGAACGGTCGTTAAGACACTAACAGCTTACAGACGGTAGGCAATTAAGGTCACAGTTATGAAAACTAAGGACACTAAAGAGGCCTTTCTACTGACTCTGAAAAACACCAAAAGAAAGATGCCCAGGGTCACTGCTCATCTGCGTGAACGTGCCTTAGGCATGCTGCAAGGAGGCATGAGGACTGCAGATGTGGCCAGGGCAATAAATTGCAATGTCCCTACTGTGAGACGCCTAAGACAGCGCTACAGGGAGACAGGACGGACAGCTGATCGTCCTCGCAGTGGCAGAACACGTGTAACAACACCTGCACAGGATCGGTACAGGTACAGGATGGCAACAACAACTGCCCGAGTTACACCAGGAATGCACAATCCCTCCATCAGTGCTCAGACTGTCCGCAATAGGCTGGACTGAGGGCTTGTAGGCCTGTTGTAAGGCAGGTCCTCACCAGATATCACTGGCAACAACGTCGCCTATGGGCACAAACCCACCGTCGCTGGTCCAGACAGGACTGGCAAAAAGTGCTCTTCACTGACGAGTCACGGTTTTGTCTCACCAAGGGTGATGGTCGGATTCGCGTTTATCGTCAAAGGAATGAGCGGTACACCGAGGCCTGTACTCTGGAGCGGGATCGATTTGTAGGTGGAGGGTCCGTCATGGTCTAGGGCGGTGTGTCACAGCATCATCGGACTGAGCTTGTTGTCATTGCAGGCAATCTCAACGCTGTGCGTTACAGGGAAGACATCCTCCTCCCTCATGTGGTACCCTTCCTGCAGGCTCATCCTGACATGACCCTCGAGCATGACAACGCCACCAGCCATACTGCTCGTTCTGTGCGTGATTTCCTGCAAGACAAGAATGTCAGTGTTCTGCCATGGCCAGCGAAGAGCCCGGATCTCAATCCCATTGAGCACATCTGGGACCTGTTGGATCGGAGGGTGAGGGCTAGGGCCATTCCCCCCACACATGTCCAGGGAACTTGCAGGTGCCTTGGTGGAAGAGTGGGGTAACATCTCACAGCAAGAACTGGCAAATCTGGTGCCGTCCATGAAGAGGTGATGCACTGCAGTACTTAATGCAGCTGGTGGCCACACCAGATACTCACTGTTACTTTGACCCCCCCCTTTTGTTCAGGGACACATTATCCCATTTCTGTTAGTCACATGTCTGTGGAACTTGTTCAGTTTATGTCTCAGTTGTTGAATCTTGTTATGTTCATACAAATATTTACACGTTAAGTTTGCTGAAAATAAACGCAGTTGACAGTGAGAGGACGTTTCTTTTTTTGCAGAGTTTACTATTATATATGTACACTCTTATACTAGATATATACTACTATATATACACTATAATACTAGATATATACTACTATATATACTATAATACTGGATATATACTATTATATAATACTATTTATGAAGGTACTGTACATTATTGATTTTATTATAGTATCATGAATCTGCATGATGCCCAGCACACATGGGCTTATAAAGACACTATTTGTTGTATCCAAATAAAATGATACAAAAGTATATTCATGAAAAATAAAAAGATACCCCATCACCATCTCACACACCACACAGATGTGTAGTAGCCAGGTGAGACGCTGGTACCTGTGTCTGAGTCTCTCTCCTTGGGGCTCACGGTGAAGGACAGTTTGCGTTTCATGGAAGACTTGGGTGGTTTCCCTTCCTTCCCCCCCAGCAACGCACTACGGTCAAGCTTCGGAGTCTTGGTGAACGGGGAAATCTTATCTTTGCTCTGGAAAAAGAGAAGAAGGAATTTGTTGTGACAAGGGGTTGCGTTAACGCAGAATTCATTTTTTTTTTTTTTTTTTCTCCACGCACAAAATAGATATAAAATGCAGAATAAATATCTAGCTGTGTTTTGTAAACACAGATCTAAAATGCTTCTTATTGTAACTTTGTGCTTCAGTTGCACTTCTCCAATCGGATGAGAAATCTTTGAGAAATCTTTGCTATAGTCTTCAGACACATTCACAAACGGCATTCGATCAGCAGGCAGCGCTCTGTCTGATGGCAGAGGGGAAGAGGCAATTGTTACAATTGTTACTGTGGTCCTCTGTAGCTCAGCTGGTAGAGCACGGCGCTTGTAACGCCAAGGTAGTGGGTTCGATCCCCATACACAAAAATGTATGCACGCATGACTGTAAGTCGCTTTGGATAAAAGCGTCTGCTAAATGGCATATTATTATTATATTATTTACATTTCTCCAATAGTTTTAGATTAACGCCATGCAAAAATTAGGAAATGTAGCTGGCTACATTCTTTCTAGAATCTATGGTAAACATAAGAAATCTGATGGCATCGTCTTCGCAAAAAATACCTTGCTCTTTTCATTGTAAGCTAATTTACTTGTGTGGCTGCTTGCCAAATAGAGTTGCATTTCTGTTGTCATCTGATGAAAACAAAGCTATTTTCTGCTGATTGTTTTTGCATTAATTTGTGTGATGAAAAACTAGTTGCCCGTCCCATATCACTCGATTGACACACAAAAAAAAAAAAAACAGTTACCTTTCAATGTAAAACGCAGATGAAAATGGTTTAAAAACGCTGCTTTGTTGATGGTGTGCGTTTTGAAAATGCTGATTTCTGCAGTCCAATTGAATTTCAGTGACTTAGTTAAAAGATATTCCCATTGTAGTGTGGAGTTGATGAATTTAATATTTTATTTATCTAGATGAGTTCCACTGATATCTTCATAAATCAGAGTACGTGAGCGGAGTGAGGGGTCGGAAATCCCGCTGATCGCTCCGGCGAGAAAATAGAATATAAAATTAAACCGCCGCTCCGAATTCGCTCCTCATTAAAAGTCGCCATTTAACCAACTGTTCACGGAACTACCTGGACCTACCATTTGGTTTTTGCGGTATTGAAACCAAACTGTATGATTTGAATGAAAAGTATTTTAATAAACAACATGAAAAAGGTTTAGAAGTGCTTATCATTTGAAATAGGCTACATGTCGTATTAAAAACATCTAAATAGGGAGGTCAGGATCCAGAGAAGGAATGAAAATTTATTAATTATTTAGGCTATATTATTAGCTTATTATTTCAAATTATTCCAAGGCTATAGCCTATACAGAAATACATTGTGAAGCATTTGCTAGTGTGACACACTAGGCTGGCAGGGACATTAAGCGCTCAGCATTTAAACATTTTGTTGTATTAAATAATTTTTGTCAATACATTACGCCATTGGGCCTGTGACTTACTTAGAATTAAATACAAATTAAACCAAAAAAAATACTTATTAGGCTTTGAATTCATTTTTAGAAACACGAATTTGGCCGGAGTCTGCCTTCAGGCTCCTGCTATGGTCTGGAGAGCAGGCCAGCAGCGGAGAAAACCCTCTCCGCGTTTGCAGAGCCATTGGGGATTTCACGGTAAGGTCTACACCTTGATTTGATGCTAAACACCCTTCAGGCCACTCTTGCCAGGCTGGGCAGGGATGCAGTTCTCTTTTTTTTTTTTCTACAGGTAAGCGTAAAGGTTTTTAGGCAAAATAACCCTATCAAAACAGAAAACTCTTTCAAGGAGTTAATATATCAGGCCAAAATCAATTATAGCCCATTGCAGGGTTCTTCAATTCCGGTCCTGGAGGGCCGAAACACCTCTGTTTTTCATCCTCTCCTTCTAATCAAGGGCTAATTCAGACCTGGGACACCAGGTGAGTGCAATTAACTACCAGGTAGAAATAAAAAAACTGAAGTGTTTCGGCCCTCCAGGACCGGAATTGAAGAACCCTGGCCTGTTGTATAGATCACTTTTAAGAGATCAGATTTGTAGTTTATAAATACTTTGCTACAATGACAGACTTAGCTAGCTACCCACCTCCTTCCTTTCTGTTAGCATGTGCACGTAGTGAATACGGCAGGTAGCCTGGCGGGTAGGAGCGTTGGGCCAGTAACCGAAAGGTTGCTCCATCGAATCCCCGAGCTGACAAGGTAAAAATCTGTCGTTCTGCCCCTGAGCAAGGCAGTTAACCCACTGTTCCCCGGGGCGCCGATGACGTGGATGTGGATTAAGGCAGCCCCCCGCACCTCTCTGATTCAGAGGGGTTGGGTTAAATGCGGAAGACACATTTCAGTTGAATGCATCCAGTTGTACAACTGACTAGATATCCCCCGTTCCGCTTTCGGGATACGTGTCTTTTAGATTCCACAGTGATTCTTTAGTTGTGGACGCTACGTCACCACACTCCCTCTCTTGCTCTTGGTCCTCATCTTTGTAAGTCACCTTGATTTAGCACCTGTGTGTTTTATCAGTTCCTTTATGAAAATATTTAGTGTTGTATTTAGTGAACTCCATGATAGTTGCTAAAGCAAGGGGCTTCAAGTAGACTACAAGTGCATGCTGGGCCGGGCATGCCCTGAGCTGGTGAAGTGAGCGCTACTGGAGCGAGTGAGAAGGCCGACGCTCCAGCCTTTGGGGAAACTCGCTCACTCTCTGGAAAATGGAGGGCCCAGAATATATTATACAATGTTGCTAGCATGAGTTTTGGGCCGGACCAAGTTAATAGTCCTCTGTAGCTCAGCTGGTAGAGCACGGCGCTTGTAACGCTAAGGTAGTGGGTTCGATCCCCGGGACCACCCATCCACAAAAAACAAAATAATGTATGCACGCATGACTGTAAGTCGCTTTGGATAAAAGCGTCTGCTAAATGGCATATTATACAAATGTGTCAAGTTCCTTGCAGACAGGCCATATGTAGCCAATGTGATTTATAGGGTATTTATATTTAAAAATCAGGATATTTTCTACCGGCGGGTTGCAATGTTTTCATTTGTTGGCTTTTTGTAGGCTATTTTTACATATTGGCGATGGCAATAGAAATAACTTTTAGATTAGTATCATTTTCATTTAGATAGAGTTTTGATTAACCACATGACATTGATTTTGAGATATGAAGATTTTGTTATAAATAAAAAGAAAAACTGTTCCACGAAAACATGCATATGAATATCATAACTGGCACGCAGATCGGTAGAAATGGTACGGTAACTTGGCTCTCCAAATGGAACAAGGTTGCCGACCGCTGGTGTAGCCTATTACCGGCAACTTCAGGAGCAATAACGGCAGAACCGGTGAAGCAGCGGAACGAGGAGGGTTGGGAACAGGTTTGTTTTCCTCTGGTTAGGCTATATCGATTATCTGGCTCCCTCTTTAGTAATTTGTGTGTCTTCATTTTAAAATCTCAGTGCTTAAAAAGCATCAGACAAGATCAGCAACCAACATAGTTGATTTTATTCAAACATAGGGTGTGTCTATATATGGAAAAATACACGTTTTAAAATCGATTGGTCCAAAGAACAGACAACTCTTGGTCGACCATTTTTATTATTTTGTCAGGGACAACCCTCCTCTGCTCCCATACTCAGCTTAATATCTTGGAGACCTGGCCATACCTTATAGCCTACTTGATAACCCAGAAACGTAATACAAATATTGCATATGAAATCAGTTCCCACAGGGTAGGGGCTAGGACATCCGTGCCTAAAGAGGTAAAACAGAAGCTAGGGGTTGTTGCTAAACCAGATCGTGCCGGGCGGGTGGCGTAGAATATATGCTGTGTTTACAGCGTACCTTCTTCCCAGTCGGTTTGTCCACCATGGCTCCGTCTCTGTCTGTCCCGGGTTTGGCCATGGTGCAGTGAGCTGCCGGCCTCCCTCCCTCCCTCCCGCCGTGTGACTCGCTCCGACAGTTACGGCACAGCACACATCATGGACCTACAACAGAAGACCTCATGTTACGAAGAAGAGAACGTTAACATTACATGTTATGTTACTAGCTATGGCTCTACGGGCTAAATCATGCTCCTATAAAATGCACAGGACGAGAACATCAAACACATTATAATGTTATGATACACTACATGGCCAGAAGTATGTGGACACCTGCTCGTCGAACATCTCATTCCAAAATCATTGGGCATTAATATGGAGTCGGTCCCCGCTTTAAAGCTATAACAGCCTCCACTCTTCTGGGAAGGCTTTCCACAAGATGTTGGAACATTGCTGCGGGGACTTGCTTCCATTCAGCCACAAGAGCATTAGTGAGGTAGGGCACTGATGTTGGGTGATTAGGCCTGGCTTGCAGTCAGCGTTCCAATTCATCACATAGGTATGAAAAATGTATGCACTCACTAACTGTAAGTCGCTCTGGATAAGAGCGTCTGCTAAATGACTAAAATGTAAAATGTGTTCGATGGGGTTGAGGTCAGTGCTCTGTGCAGGCCAGTCAAGTTCTTACACACCTATCCCGACAAACTATTTATGTAAGGACCTCGCTTTGTGTACTGGGGCATTGTCATGCTGAAACAGGAAAGGGCCTTCCCCAAACAGTTGCCACAAAGTTGGAAGCAGAGAATCGTCTAGAAGGTCATTGTATGCTGTAGCGTTAAGATTTCCCTTCACTGGAACTAAGGGGCCTAGCCCGAACCATGAAAAACAGCCCCAGACCATTATTCCTCCTCCACCAAACTTTACAGTTGGCACTATGCATTGGGGCAGGTAGCATTCTCCTGGCATCCGCCAAACCCAGATTTGTCCGTCGGACTGCCAGATGGTGAAGCGTGATTAAATCACTCCAGAGAACGCATTTCCACTTCCCCAGAGTCCAATGGCGGCGATCTTTACACCACTCCAGACGACGCTTGGCATTGCGCATGGTGATCTTAGGCGTGTGTGCTGCTGCTCGGCCATGGAAACCCATTCTGCCTGAAGTGCTTCCTGAGGCGTTGAACAGTATGCTTTTGCCCGCGACATTTTGCTAACCTACCGGGGCCGTTTGTGAGTGTGACTCTGTGAATGAGTGTTGCAACAAGGACAGGACAATTTTTATGATGCTACAGTCAGCATGACGGTGCCTGTTGTGAGCTTGTGGCCATTATGTTGCACCTAATGTTTCCAGTCACATACAGCGCTACATTGCCGTGCA